CTAAGAATAGCATAGTTAGAAGTTAATTAGGTCTAAAGTAAGACATCGTCTTGAACCATTACATTTACATTAACATTTATGGGTCAAAGATGAAAAGTGGTTTTCGAGCAAAAGCAATAAAAGTTTCAATGTATTTTTTTTAATTTCCCGTACATTAGATGGGTCCTGTTTAAATTAATTTTTTTCTGAGCAAAAAAAGACTATCATACATTTTTACCATGATAGGAGCACTGAAGATAGCAATGTGCTGAAACATTTGCTTGCTTGCTCGTGTCCATCTGTTTTTAATTCACATGCACTTTGCACTTTTTGCACAATGCAATTTATAAAATAAAAAATATGTTTTTGTAGACTTTTTAAGTCTTGAGTGGATCAGTGTGCGGTTAGCCACCCTTTTGTTCATTTTCAAAACTGCTTAATGAAATGTCCTAAAGAGTGACGGTCGGTGATATGATATACTAAACTCCATCTTCCTTAAAGGGGTCATATGATGCGATTTAAATTTTTCCTTTCTCTTTGAAGTGTTACAAGCTCTTGGTGCATAAAGAAGATCTGTAAAGTTGCAAAGACTAAAGTCTCAAATCCAAAGAGATATTCTTTATAAAAGTTAAGAGTCAGCCACGCCTACCTAAAACGGCTCGTTCTAACACGCCCCCACATACCTACATCACTATGTGGGAAGATTTGCATAACACCGCCCAAATGTTCACACAAAGAAAGAAGGCATAACTTTTATTCACGCTGTAGTATTGTTGCCGCCGCTGTCATGTCGTGAAGTCACTGTGTGCTTCGTTGTGAAAGCGAAACTACTTTCAAAAGAGGACGATATCCGCTTCGTCATCCCTAGAGCTGATCCGTGCTGGTCGCTGAGAAAATACACCCACATATCTACATCACTATCTGGGAAGATTTGCATGACGCCGCCCAAATGTTCACGCAAAGAAAGAAGGCTTAACTTTTATTCTCGCTGTAGTTTTGTTGTTGCCGCCAAGTTGTGAAGGCGCTGCACTCTAAACCCGGATTTTGTTTTAAATAAACTTTTTTAGTCGTCATTAATTATTCTTTCTTGTTTTTGTAAAAAAAACGTTGACATTACTAAACATAATTAGTTGTTTGAAGTATTCAGACGAAATATTGAATGCAGTGATTTCTGGGAAAATTGATAATGTGCCGATCGACGTTTTTTCCTCTGTCGGTTCACAGTTTAGCTATAATGCTAATATTTAAATCGGTGTTTCTTTTGGTTCACAGTTAAGATAAGTTCAGCAAGTGTGTTTCTGCATGTTCATTTTAGCTGTAACTTAGCATTTCATTACCCTTAGCTTCAGTCATTTAACATCAGCATGTGTGCATCAATTAGCTTTTTGTTAAAGCTAAATTAGCTTGTCTCTTTGATATATTATAGTGTCTATTATTATTTATAATAACTGCAACTGAGTTGTTGAGCTTAATGGGTTATGCGTATGCTAAAAGTTTATGCTGAAAGTTTCAGTTAGTCTTGAAATGTAACATTTTTTTCTCTGTTTTAGGTGTTCATGGAGTTCTAATTACAGGATTGCAAGAATCTCAAGCATGAAATCATTGACCGACATAGTCTTAGTCTAACTGAGATATTGCAGTCTAAGAGAGAGAAAGTTGGGCAGCTGTTGACAGCTTTCACAACAAATCAAGGTTGGTCCATATCCGTTGTAGACTTGCATTGCATAGTTTTTAACAGCTTAAGTAATGAAAATGTATCACAAAAAGTTTACAATATTGGTTGTGTAATGCAATCAAAATTGTGTTTGATTGGTTCTGCTTTCTTGTGATCATTCCTTCAATTTTGTTCATCAGTGATTCATTTTACTCCCCAACAGACTAAAGTGTAGGGTATCAGACTGAATCAGACAATTTAAGATTTGATCAAGAACATGGTTGAAACACGAGGAGCCGAATTCCACAGAAAGGCCCAAGACACAGGATGTTCGTAAATCAGATCCTGGCGCCACAAGCCTGAAGCAAGTCCACCAACTAGCAGCTTTGAGTAGCTCACAGCATTTAAACAAAAGAACACTTATTGACAATTCCAAGGAGATTGTCAATTTTGGGGCAAGTAATCAAGCATGTGTGACTATCAGGTTCTAATCACTTATGGTGTGTGTATTTTGAATAACTAATGAATAGTTTATAGGATTATATTCATGTTGGGTATGTATGAGTGTGAAAATTCTTGCTTGAAACGTTTCTTCCAATCAAATCTTTGTCAAATGCCTAAAAGGACAAAAAACAATAATTTCACCATTAATTGATAGTTCCTGTGTTTTATAAAACCTCTGAGAATAAAGCCTAAACCATTAACTTATTACAGTAGCTCTTTTAGCCTCTTTGGGTGATCTGTTTCCTTAAAGGGTTAGTTCATCCAACATTTGCTCACCCTCATGTCGTTACAAACCCTTTGGACTCAAGTTTTTAAGAGACAATTTGATGTATAGTTCACCCAAAAATGAGTAAAAAAAGTAAAATTTAAACTTTAAAGATTTTTAGCTGAAACTGTGGTCCTTGGTGATTGATATAAAACAGTCAATGGAAATTGTCATTTTTGATAGTTAAAAAAAATATGCACAGGCAAAACAAAATTAACACCTGTGGATCCTGACCATACATTGAGGTTTTACGAAGTAAAAAAAAAAATGGTCTGAGAAACATCCACAACCTCTGTAAACGGTCCTGAGCGCATTCATAACATTCTGGAGAGTGAGTTTCCTGTCGCATATAATAATGTATGCGCAGGAGCAAACTCACACATGAGCAATCTTTCTTGCACAGACTGATTGTTTTGCTTCATAAGACCTCAATGTATCGTCAGGAGACACAGGTATTAATTTTGTTTTGCCTGTTTTTGATTTTTATTGTTTTTTTGCTCCAAGTGATGGTAGCCATTGACTTGCATTAAATGAATCACCAAGGACCACAGTTACAGCTAATAATCTTTTAAGGTTGCCTCATTGAAGATCACCATTGAAGGAGAAGTTGTGATGGACAATATTGATGACTTGCCAAAAGCGCATTCTGTATGGACTTGCATACGCACTGCATCTCGACTACCCTAAATCTATGAAGAACATATTCCAGTTCATCTAACAGGTACTTCTCATGTTGGGCCAAACCCAGGTTGCAAACTCTGAAAAAACAACTTACAATGTAAGGAAATGCGAGAAGCTTCCATGAGAAGCCACTTGTGTTTGCTGTATAGGACATTAAAGTGTGTTTTGTCACTGCATATCAGTGCTGTTAGTGCTCAGTTAATGTGTGTTCACACAATTCTTCAGCCAAGTTTAAAGTTACAGAGGCTTGCCTCCGTTTTAATGCATGCCCAGTTTTTAATGCATATCCAGGCATTCACAAGGGATATAGCATATATTGTTGAATACTGTGTGTTCATGTTTCTTCTACAAAATAGTTACAAGTGTTAGTAAGCTGTTTCAAAGCTAATTTTTACTTGTCTTGTGGCTGACAAGTTTAATGCATTGTCGTGTTACCATTTCTTTGGTGAACAATAAAAAAACTTTGTGCATTGAAATCTGTTTTTCTTTTTTTCCAATTGATTTGAAACAATGTTTAATACAATAAATCTCAAAATCTATGTCTAATTACATTGACATTACATAAATATAACATTTATCATTACTTAAAAACATTTGTTAATGTTATTTGCTAATATATATATTTTTGTAGTTGTAACTTGCAATAGTTATTTTATGCAACCTACAGTATACTCCAAATAATAATTGATGTGAACTAATGATTTTGAGTAAAGACTACTAATGTAAACTTGATTTGTCTACTGCATAAACTTAAGGTTCTATGTTAATTCAATTAAAGCTGTTTAGTTTCAATTTGTGTAAAAACTAAAATGATTTAGTGCAACGGGTTTCTTCGCAAATTTCTAGTAAAGTCAACTAATTCGGGTTAAGAGTGTGTGTGTTTCGTTGTGAAAGCGAAACTACTTTGTTTGGCCTTCCAAAAAGAGGACGATATCCGCTTCGTCATGCCTAGAGCTGATCCGTGCTGGTCGCTGAGGTCTCACGCTTGAGGTATTCGGCCAATCACAACGCATTGGATATCTGGCCAATCAGAGCACACCTCGCTTTTCAGACCGATTAGTTTTGTAAAAATCGACGCGTTTCAGAAAGGCGGGGCATAGAGGAGAAACAATAATGTACAGTATGTGGAAAATAATGTTTTTTTTTCTTTCTTTAAACCGCATAAACACATTTCATTACACCAAATACACAAAATAATGTTCTTTTTAGCAGCATCATATGACCCCTTTAATTGTGCCAAACCTAAAAAAAAAAAGTGTCAACTATATAGCTAGCTGCATTAATGGTCTCATTTTGGCTGCTATTTACCATGCCATGGGTAGGAGATTATTTTCTATCTTTTCAGCTAGATGTATCCAAGGGATAGAAAAAAGTGCGAAATTTGACAAGATGAGAACGAGGGTCAATATGATAATCCAGTGATCGGAAATTCTGATAACCGTGTATATAATGGGCTAAAAGGGCCTGGGATAAAAAGCCCTTGATTTGTTGTGATAAATGTGCAGAATAATGTGGGTTTGTTGGGAGAAATGTGCAAAGTGGTTCTATACCTATTACAGATTTATTTATAAAGTATGCATACCATTGATGAATTTAAAACTAAATAATATCCTACACAAATCGGGATTAAATGCATGAAATTTACCAGGAAATGAAACACTCTGTGCCCAAGTTGAGTATTTAACATTTCTTTTAATACAAATTATGTCTCTCCATCAATATTCAACGGTTTATTTTCTTATTTGAACATAATTTAACATCTAACATTACAGTGACAAACACTTTTTCCTTTAAGACGGATAAAGACCTTTTGCACCCTAATCAAAAATCGTGACTTTTTTATGTTTTTCATTGTGGGCCAAAATTGACAAGTGGGTGAAGTTTCTGAGACAACATTAGGGTTAAAACCCTGCCCTGTACTGGCAGCTCCCCCGTTTAAAGTCCGCGCATCACCGTATCTGCATTATTTTGTCATCATAAGGCAGTATTCAGATTCTCACGCAGGGTAGCTCGACTACGGTATAATTTTAGCATTTATCATAAGCGGTCCGACAACGAAAGATTGTTTATTTAACCTGAGGCTTTTCTAAATGCACACTAGAGAACGTGAATTTTACAGCAACACGAATGCAGTATGCTGTAGTCCGGGTACCGCTTCTAGTTACTTCCTTGTCCTGCGGAGAGCATAAAGCAGTGACGTCGGCGGACCGGTCTGCAAGGTGGCTATAACGCCGCAGAGAGAAACCCGTCCGCCCGACCCGGAGAAACGACCCACGCCGGCGTGCGCACACAGACCAGCCACTTCATCGTGTGCGGCTCGACGTGTCACGCGCGCTGAATCTTAAAAATGTTTTGCTGTGGACCACGACGATAGGCTGGCGGTTACCAAGCGACGCTCGACCGGGAGAACAGCAGTTACCAGCTGCCCCACTGTCTATGTGTCCGTGTGCGGTGCACCGGTGACTATGTCCTTGGTGAAGAGTGACGAGGATCAGCGATGGCTGCCAACGCACGTGCAGGTAACTGTGCTACGGGCCCGAGGGCTGCGCGCGAAGGGTAAACACGGTACCAGCGACGTTTACAGCATCATCCAGCTGGGCAAAGATAAATATTCCACGTGTGTGATGGAGAAGACTACGGACCCGGAATGGGGCGAGGAATGCGCGTTCGAGCTGCAGCCGTGGATCCTGGAGGAGGGGGGGCGAGACGCGTACCCACCCGGTAGTGGCGACCTGACCCTCACCGTTATGCACCGGGCTCTCATAGGACTGGATGTGTTTCTTGGCCAGGCTGTTATACCTGTGGACGAAGCCTTTCAGGAGCGGAAATGCATGAAAAATGAGTAAGTTTGCGTTTACTGTTTGGTATGTATTCGTTGTTGTCATTATTATTAGTGTCAGTCTAAAGGAGCAGTTGTGGCGTTTACTATGGCTCAAGGAATGAGAATGAATATTGTGCCATTAACCCAGTCGGATATGTCTTACTCGGAGTGCTGCAATGTGTTCCTCTGCAGTCACGCCCTCTTTAACAGGCCTGTATGTTGACAGAGGAAAGTAGGGGAATTTTTCTGTGGTGTTTCCCTTATCTGTTCCTCAAGCCTCTCAATGGTTCGCATCTTTCTCATCAAACACCCCTAATTCAACTCCTGAGCTCATTAGTAGAGGCTCCAGTACCTCAAATGGGTGTGTCTCATCTGGGAGACATCCAAAATGTGTAGTGTTGGGGGGCCTCCAGTATTAGTGATGAGTAACACTTGTGTAGATGGTCTGTGTTTTTCATCTGTCTGATTCAGGTTGCTAAAATTGCATACAAAGTATTGGATGTGTCATTGTTCATCTGTATGAGCCATTTAGCTTTGCTCTGTCACCTTTCTGATTATGTAAGACTAAGGCACAAGCAAGGCATTGGTCATGTGTTTTCTCTTTAAATGCATTTTTCTTTGTTCTTCGCCAACACAGTCTCTTGCCAGTTCATAGCTATTTTACATTTTGGCTAGTTTGTATGAATTTGTACCGTCTCATTCATATGTTTTTGTACAATCTGCTTACACCCCAGTGATGGTCATGTTTAGATGGTGGATCTTCATGCTTGTTTGTTTCTAAAAATTGTATGTTTTCAAATACGAAATTGCTAGGTTTTCTCGTGAGATGAGGTTGACTTCATAGGTCCATCAATTAAGATCCATTACAAATTAGAGCATATACAAATAGGGTGTTCAAAGAATCTCTTCTTTAGGTTATAGTATAACCGTTATACTATAATCTTAGTAACTCAAAGATGGTTAAGATAGAAGTTTACTAATAAAATAAAAGTACTGCACTGTTTAATTGCATTACCACTGCACCAACAATAGTTGGGCAGCTGACATGACCTGCATGTGATGTGCAACTCTGTTGCATCACAAACCATTTGAAAAAGCAGTTTTTTTTAATACTTACAAAAGTCATTTGTCAAATATTTAAATTAACTATTGAATGCAAAAATGTGCTTTAAAAATGGCCAAAATAAATAAATGGTGACCAGAGAACCAACATTTTTGGTTTTGAATAAAATTTAATGTCCATGTTATTTCTCAGCTATGCTTCATATGAGTATTAAGATATTGTTCTCCAAAAGTAACCAAGAGTTTTTGAGTGATACCAGAAGCAGCTGTTGTGCTAGATAACAGATATCAGAAGCTCAGAATAGCTCAAAATGGACATTTGATCAGACCAGTGGAGCATGACGTATTCATTTCTCATTCATCCTGAGACAAAAGAAAACATTCTTGTTTTACTGTAGCATGCAAAGGAAAGTGTTTCAAGATGTATTTTAACCTGTGTGTAGAGTGTTTGTGCATATATTTATGGGTCTGATTCTGAGGAAATATATTTTCCTGAGTAGCTGAGTGAGGCTCTATATCTAGAATCTAACACTAGCTGTGAGAGGTTTATTCTCAGTACACACCCCACTTCCTGTAGCAGGCAAGCAAATAAGAAATCATTTATTTGTATTATATAGAGGCCCTTCAGTGCTGCTCTCTATAGCTCTTCTGGTATCACTTCTGTAGAGACGTAACTGGAATTGATGTGTTTAACTTAAGTGAAGAAGTCTCTTTTTTTATGAGACAAGTGATACTCTGACAGGGTCAAGACTATAGGTAATGTGAGACAATTACAATTATTTTGTAACCGTGCACTGTAGTGAAAGCCTACATAATCCACCCAATTAGTGCACTACACACAGGCATTAAATGGTAGCTTGAATGAGAACCTGTAACTCAAATCAATCAAATTTTAAGACAAATCACTATAAATAAGTCAAAATTGCTCACACTTCTTTTATATTTCCTCTTTGAGTACGCCAGTAATCACCATTTGTACCATTTGTTCTTAAAGAAATAGTTCACCCAAAAATAAAAATGAGCTGAAAATTTTGAAGATGTAGGCTAGATGAATTTGTTTCTTCATCGGAACAGATTTGGAGAAATGTATCATTTTGTTTCTTACAAACACGCAGCTTTTCGCTTCACAAGATGTTAATCGATGGACTGGAGTTGTGTGGATTACTTGTGGATTATTGTGATGGTTTTATCAGCTGTTTGGACGCTCATTCTGACGGCACCCATCCACTGCAGAGGATCCATTGGCGAGCAAGTGATATAATGCTAAATTTCTCCAAATCTGTTCCAAATCATAACACTCCCTTTAAAGGTGCACTAAGCGATTGCTGCCAAACGATGTTGATATTTGAAAGCACCAAAACAAACACGCCCATACCCAACAGGACCTCGCCCCTATTTTGATAACTCCGCCCCACATGTGCGTACACAACCCTGGCAGCGACGATGGCAGATTCTGCTATGCCTGCCAGCCGCAGCATATTCAAGCAAAAGCCAACGCAGAATAGTTGTGTGAAAAAGCAAAATCAATGTAACTCACCTATCAAGAAGAAACAAAGCAACCT